TCAGTTCAGTTAGCCCATCGTGGTAAATTCACCAGGCTTTTATCACGATAGTTTCCGGGATGAACACCGTGGGCTAACGGTTTACGCTAGCAAGGCACCGGTAAGGCAAGGCACCGGTAAGGCAAGGCACCGGTAAGGCAAGGCTCCGGTAAGGCAAGGCACCGGTAAGGCAAGGCACCGGTAAGGCAAGGCACCGGTAAGGCAAGGCTCCAAAGAATATCCTTCAATTCTTGTCCCTGACGGGTCTAGGTAGCGATCTTTGAAAAGGGCGAGCACAATAGATCTATGTAGGTCGCAGTGCTACAGGTGCTACACATCTGACAATAGCCCAAACAACCCAATAAAAAAAAAGGCACCAGTATAGGAAGATGAGATGAATATGAGGCCAGGTCCGTTAGCCCATCATGACAAATTCTCTTGGAGAATTTGTCATGATGGTTTCCAGGGGGAACCGCTTGGAGCTCAACCTGACATGGTACATAGCTAGTAATGGGGTCATCAGTCCACATAATAAACGATTCCCTTACCCTCTAGAATAAAATATTGACCTAACGACTTTGTAAAAAGTTATCTGCATGCTTCCGTCGCCAAGCAACTTGATGTGTAAGCTGTTTCGGTTATAGTCTCAATTAGGAAGTACAGGATAACTGGTATGACATCTTAGACCTCTCGAATGGCAGTGCTATAGTGGTATCATCTGTGTCACGTGATTACGTGATGTCTATAGTGTTGTTTATATTTGTGCATGATGATTACTGCTTACTATCAGGCGGGCCGTAAGCGTATATGCCATTCAAATTACTTTAAAAAATGGTCAAATACGTATTATATCAGATGTTACGCCATGATTGTTATTCATGTACAAAAACATCGCTGTTTTTATACTTCAAAAAAAAAACAAATAATAAGAATCAAGAGGAAACAGACCGGACATCGAACCTGGTAACATGTCAATACTACCACTTTGCATAGAGCCTACATCATTATTTGGAATTGGATGGGGTCGGTGGCACAGTCGATGATTTAAAATCGAGCGATTAAAAAGTTAAACTATAGTTATATTTCCCAGACGGACGTTTATTTTATATCTACCTAACCCACGGTATTAGACATAATTAGAAATTTTAGTAAACATTAGCAAATAATTATATAATTTATATATATAATATTTAATTTATATAATAATTATAAAATAAATTATTATTATTTAAATTAAATATTTAAATAATAATTATTTACTTTGTCAGCCTCGGTGGTCTAGTGGTTTACCATACCGCTTTACTATCCGACGGTCGCGGGTTCGATTCCTTGCAGTACACAAACATTTGTATTCATGAGTGTGATTGTTTGTATCGGTCTGGGTATTTTCTCTGTATAATATGTATTTATTTACAAAAAAAAACCTGCATCCATGTATTTATATGAGTTGTCTAGTACCCATTACATAAGCTCTGCTTAGCTAGGGACTAGATGGCGTTGTGCGAATTGTCCTGAGATATTATTATTATAATTACTTTTATTTACATATATTACGAAATATTACATAAATGGACAATAATCATACATATATACACCTAATATACTTGTAAATCGAATTATGACTGTATACATAGAAATTTTTAAATGAATTATGTATATTAATTATACATATGTTTAATAAAAATATAAATATAAAATATAATGAATTCTACACATAAAAAATCTTCTTGAATCACTATCTATTGCTAAGAACTGCATTAAAATCCGTTGCGTAATTTAAAAGATACAAACGAACAGACATCGGCGGCAACTTTGTTTTATACTAAGTAATAAAAAGATAAAATCATTTTATATATAAAAAAAATATACACTAGAATAATCAATCTAAATCTAAAAACCTTATAAATATAATATAATAACTAAAATATATTATTAAAAGGAGTCACTTTAGGCAAGGTTCCGAAGACACTGGCAGCGTTCCCCCTTTGAATGTTTAGACTAATTCTTTGTCCGAGGTAGCTGCTAGCTCTCGGTCTTCTGTGATGTCGCCTAACTTTTTTGCTATTTCCTTAAAAAGCAAAAAAAAAAAATACGTAAATATTATTTTCTTGTAAAAATATTACTAGAAAATAATATTTTATAATAGAATTCAATGCCATTTATATACATTGATGTGGCAACAAATGTCTAAAATAATTTCTATCATCATTCAAATATTGAGAAACAATAGATATTAAAACAATTGTTATTCCGAATGTCATACAAACACAATTTTTTTTATTTATTGCATAATTTTTTTATGCAAATTGTATTAGGATAAATATTTCATACCTAATATTGTATATTTTGATGTTTTACGTACTTACAGTAAAATATGTTTGCATTATGTTTGTAAAAATATGTTTCCTTTATAAATAGAAAATCTATAAATACAACACAATACTTTGTTACCTATTCACGTATGATGTAAAGATTTAATTTTTTTTATAATTAAGTATCTGTGCCCGCGAATTCATCCGCGTTGAATAGTGACATTGAAATAAATAATATTAAAAATTATTTCTTAATTTAATAAAGGGATAAGTTCAAGCGTCTATATTTAAAAATGACAATACTTCCAAACTTTCATCTCCCTTTTTAAACCTAATAGTTTAAATTATTAAATATTTTTAGTCACTATTCCACGCGGACCGAGTCGCTGGCACAGTTAGTTTTTTATAAATTTTTATTCTCTACTCATTCACTTAAATAGAAATAGAAATAGAAATAATCTTTATTCAAATAAACTCATTACAAGCACTTTTGAATAGTCATATTTTGATTCTACCACTTACGAGTAACGAATAAAGAAAGTAGATTTATTTTAAATTGCATTAAACGATAGTTAACTTTATTAGCAGTTAGGTAGAGCCGGGCCGATCACAAATTTCACAACAAAACAAGACCCCACAAAAACGGGACGAATTTTTTTATGGATTCAAGAAAAACATAGTCAAAAACTGCAGTTCAGATGTACCTAAATGACACGAAAACGACGGTGAGCCCACCGCGGCGCCCTGCCCCGTCTCATATGGAAAATAAAACGGCCAAGTTTGAGTAGAACGGGGTTGTTAAGGGTTCCGTAGTACTCTGTAATTATATAATTAATATTATACCTTGCAATAAATATATTAAAAAGTATATAGTATATTTATATTGAATATATATGATGAAGAATGCACAAACAGTACAAATCAAAATTATTGTTATTATATGCACCACTTTATATTATATATATATATATATATATATGCGACAATTTTATTTATACTTTCTCGGCCACACAGTTATACTTGTTAATAAAAAATGGTGGAAATAGGAGTAGAAATAATATACATATTATACATATATTAAAATAAACATAATACAAACACTTTTGAATAGTCATATTTTTGTATTATACTATTCATTCGGAACACATCTCACACATCACAAGAAGAATGAGCAAGACACTTGCGTGTAGCGCCAAAAGCAAAACATTTTTTCAAATAACCCCATGGCTTCTTCTAAAATCTTGTTTATAGATAATTCGGTTTATAATAATATAAAAATCCCAGGACAATTCATACAGCGCCATCTAGTCCCAAGCTAAACAAAGCTTGTATTATGTGTACTAGACAACTGATAGATCTACTTAGACACATTTAAATACATAATAATCTCAGGAGAATTCACACAGCGTCATCTACACCCAAGTTAAGCTAGCTAAAGCTTGTGTTATGGGTGAACATATGTAATACTAGTTTATACCCGCGACTTCGCTCGCATTGAATAAAAAATATTTGTTTTCTTTTTAAATAAAAAGTATCCTATATCTATTCTAACCTCCAAGAAAAAAATTGTGTACAAAATTTCATGATGATCGGTTCAGTAGTTTTTGCGAGAAAGCGTAACAAACATCCCTATTTTCACATCTATACATATAAATAAAATTGGAGTGTCTGTTTGTAATATTGAAATAACCGTTTTTTACTACATGCATATGAATATAAATACGGTACATATACCAAAAAATAACTTTTTAAAATTTGTGTCTGTCTGTCGGTCTGATTGTGCTGGCTAATCTCTGAAATGGCTGGACCGATTTTAACGGGACTTTTTTTGGCAGGTAGCTGATGAAATAGGGAGTAACTTAGGCTACTTTTATTTTAGAAAAATAAAGTTAAATTTCACGCGAACGAAGTCGCGGTAACAGCTAGTTTATAATATTATTAAGGATATATAGATACTACCTAGACAAACACAAATACAAATTAATTTAAATGTTTGTATCGTGCGAGGAACCGATACTCGTTACCATCAGAAGTAAAGCGCTAAACGCTATGTTTATTTAGTAGACAATCCTAAAACCACAAAAGTCAAAGCCCAACCTCCAGTTGGACCCTGAGAAGAAATATTGGTGGCATCGTTAGTCCCTTATTCAGATTGAGTGACGTTCTCAGCCCGATGGCATTTTTTCCAAACGATGTAAATCTCGTTTTTCGGCCATTTTTGTCGGTTTTTTGCAGCGCTACGCAAATTTATTAGTGCATTTGTCGGGATGTTTGTCGCTTGTATTAGAGTATTAATGGGTTCCGGTTTACTTAATTGGATTATTTGGTTTTATTTTAAAAACATTTTATGTAATTTATTTATTAGGCAATTGAATATATTTGGGACTAGTTTTGCTCGCAGTTTCACCCGCAGGAAATTTGAAGCCTATGTTATCCTGATATATAAGCTATATTAATAATAATAATATTCTTGGGTAATTTTCGCAGCGCCATCTAGTCCCAAGTTGATGAAAACCCTTAATATTATTTTTTTATTTTTTGAACATTTTTTTTATAATGTGGCATAAAATAAATACAACCCTAAATTTACACCCATCTATCACCAACCCCTATTTTCAATAGAGATTTTAATGTACATATATGACAAAACAACTTTTGCGGGGTCAGCTGGTATGTACTTTATAAGATTGAATTTCATATCCTTTCCAGGTGAATACCGTATCGGCCTGAAGTTCAACGAGCAGCACATCCCAGACTCTCCCTTCAAGGTGTACATCTCGCCAGCTGTGGGAGAAGCCTACCTGCTGGAAGTTGCCCAGTTCCCAGACACTGCCCAGGTGGATAAGCCTGCTCAGTTCTACATCAGGCTCAATGGCGCTAAGGGAGATTTGGATGCTAGGGTAAGTATTGTTTTTAAGTTAGTATGTACAGTAGAGGAAGTCAAAAAGATGTGGATAGTCTTCATGTTAAGTTATTTCCTATATCACTTATTATGATATGTAGGAGAGTACTTATATAAATGATCTCTCTTTCTTTCTATTCTTTCAGTTATATTGAATATAAATCATTTATTAAAATAAAATTTAAGAACTTTTGAATAGTCACAGTTATGTTTTTTTAATCAAATCAAATCAAAGAACAAAGATATTGTAGCCGCTTATGAATGTCAAGTTTTTTTATTACAATTTTTTCTATACCGTCCAGTTCAGTCTACAGATTCAATTAAGAAGAACCGGGAAGAAACTTATCTGATTTTCCTTTTTTTTGGAAGCCAGTTTATTTAAATTGTGTACTTATGTACTTATGTCTATGTCTAACATTAAATGAAAATCCCGTAAATGAACAACGATTGCTATCCACGTTTGTCATTTAAGTAATCGTTTAGTGAGTAATGTGTGTGAGACTTTGCTCAATGATTATGATTATTTTTCTCTTTTTTCTTTTGGATTTTTGTACACAAAATGTGACGATGACAATCACATCGTACCTATACTAAATAACAAAAATAAACTAAAAATCAACTTAAAAAATTTAAACTGATATGATACCATCCAGAACAACAACTTGGCTGCATCGGAAACTGGTTCTGCCAATATTTCATGGAATACTCCTATGTGTAACCCATTTAACTTTAAAGCTTGGATGGTATATTCTCTTTTATAAATATGATTTATGTGATGTTTCAAAATTATGTGTTTTGAAAATGAAAAAAAGTAATGAAAAAATGTTTATTTCTTTAAAAACAATTCAGCTACAATAACATAGTGTTGGGATGACCTAGTAAATGCCTGTGTTAGGTACATCCCGCTCTTCCATATACATGGTCATATGTGTTTGTTTTTTTTAGATTATTTGAGACATTAGAAAACTAATATTATAAACTAAAGCCAAGGTTACTTATTAGTATAAAAAAAAAATAAGTTTACAAGCGGCATATTTGTATTTATATCCATGTGTCAGTTTGAATATATGTAGTGTAATGTGTGTGTGTGTGTGTGTGAGAGTATGTGTGCGTGATTGCGTGTGTGTGTGTAGTTTTTTTTTGTTTTGTTTTGAATCTCTAAAAGGTATCTCATCATAGATAGATAATATGTCAAGAAAGGGAGTATGAATAGAGATAAATAGTAAATAAAAAATTACGTTGACCCCAAATGAAATGACATAGATAAGTAGAAGGATATGACGTATTGCACGACTGTGGAAGTAAAATATATACATTTACTGTTTTTTTTTAACCTTCTAAACTTCATTGCATCTCTAAAGCTGAGTAATATAAACAGAGTCATATTTTTCTAAACTAAGGAATGCTTGTACCATATTGGATGGTAGAGTAAGTCATATGTTTTACCATTTAGTTTAGTTTTCTGTCGAAGGAGCGTTTGTTTTTTTTCCGTAGTGTCTTTTAGTCTCAAATTACGGAAATCAAGGTATTATTTTGAACGTTAGATTAAGTCATTAGTTAGTTTAGTTACCCGTTATATTTAGTTTACCCGATTGTCGAAAGGGTATAAGTTTTTATTTTTTTTTTACTATAAATTGACCACACATTGTCGTCTAGTCTTAAATCAGGCAATTATTGTATTATGTTTGGTACTATTGAAATAAAAGTTATATTTTTTTCCATGAACAACGCCATTTAGTTCAAATTAAACACCGCAGTAAGCATAACTGATGAATATTTATTTTATAGACGCAATATCTTCCTTACTAATATAATAAAAGCGAAAGTAACTCTGTCTATCAGTCTGTCTCGCTTTTACTTTAAAACAGGGAAAGAACAGAACTGACTTAAATGAAATTTGGTAAACAGATACTATTGACTCTGAGAAAGGATATATACTATACTTAGGCAAAAAAGGGGTTGAAAAGGATTAAAAGGGGAGTTGAAAGGTTTTATGGTAGTATTGTCATTTTTAAAGATACATGCTTGAACTTATTCCTTTATTAATAAAGAAATAATTTTAAATATATTTTTTTTATTCCACGCGGACGTAATCCCGTTCACAGCTACAATATAAGTATTTCTAATTATAAATAATTTAAAATATTTTCATTATTCGTGATTAGGTATCAAAGTATTGTATTGTATTTATAGATTTTCTATTAATAGACGAATTTATGTAAACATAGGTTTTTAGAAATTGTAAATGTCACAATATATTTTACTTTATCAACAACCCAAAAAAATGTTTTAAGGTTTAAAAATTGAAATACAATATTTTTAAGAGACCAAAATAAAATAGGGGATGAAAGTTTGTATGGAAAGCTAATTCCTCTGTAAGTACGTAAATAATGCGTAGAAAAACACTAAGATCGATACTGTGACTACATATATTTATTGATTGCATCGTGCTGAAATCTAACCCGCAATAATCTGTCGTTGCGTATCCTAACCACTACACCATCGAGGTCTTGCAATATTAATATTACATTCTCAGCTGCACCTTCGGTTGCGGAGATCTGTTAATACCTATACACTCGTGTTCAGACAATATGTCTTCCAATAAACCGTATTACATGGGGTCATGATGATTTATCGTGTGAACATGCTGCCCACCGCTGACTGTACCGCTGATTTATGATCGATGGGTCCGACTGTACCTCGCTACGTGGACCGTTTACGTAAATATTGTTTTTTTTCGAATCTGTCGGTTTCTTACTACAATTTATCTATTTATTATTAAAAAATTATTCATTAAAGATGAAATTTATAGTACAAATGTTATTCTGATGTGTAAGCTATATTAGTGTTAAGTTTCATTAAAATCTATACAGTAGTTTTTGCGTAAAAGAGTAACAAACATCTATCCATCTATACATCCACACTCCAAACTTCTACGTTTATAATAATATTATATTTATTATAATATATATTAATATAAGATCTATATTTTTTTAGTATTTATAAAATTCTGGTAATCGATTGCTTTAGTTTGAAGTTTGTTTTGTTTGTTATTTATTTATTGTCTATTGTTATCATTAAACTTTTTTTAGTACATTTATCCTCGCGGACGTAGCTGAAAATCAGTGTTTAGCCCCATGAGAGATTATGAGCCCCGCCGATCGATTCTCCATCCAATTCAAACGGGGATCGAAATTGCGACGGCCTGAGCCAGGGTTCGAATTTCTAGCGGTGCCCTCAGACTAAAGTCGTACCCGTCAGGGGGGAGTTGGCCTTTAGCCGCTCCATAAGTCTTTTCGCGGGTTTGGAGTGCCATATTATGCTCGCCTTCTATCGTCTGGTAAATCTGTAAAGGCTCCCTACGGTCAACCGCATTACAGTAGTCCGAAAAAAAACTTAGTTACGAGTCATTTTGTATTGCTGTCACACTGACATGCAGTTTACCCATATTCTGTAATTATCCATAAAACCTATACGAGAAATATATACACAAAATTTGATCCAAATCGGTCCAGTCTTTTAGATCGCCCACTGTCACGATTTAGATATACCGAGTGCAATATGGATATGTATATGTGTCAAATGTATTCACTACAACGTCGACTGTCTATAATTACCCCATTAGGGATAACAGTCGTGATGATACTTTTATAATCTATTAAGTATGTATGTGTAAGTATATATATATAAATGTGTGTGTATGTGTAAATAAATTTAATTTAGTATATGTCCCATTTATCATTGTACTCATTACAAAAAAAGTCATTACTTTGGAATTTATCAGTTGTCCCGTTATATTTATTTTAATTCAATTTATACATTTATTAACAGACTTAAAAAAACGTGTTTTAATAAGAAATTATTCATTTCTAATTAATAATTATAAAAATATTTGTAAGGTTGTATACTAACAGTATCACACATATGCGACGACCTCGGTGGTCTAGCGGTCTAGCACACCGCTTCAGATCCGATGGTCGCGGGTTCGATTCCTCGCACGGCACAAACATTTGTATTCATGAGTATGATTATTTGTACCGATCTGGGTATTTTCTATGTATAATATGTATGTATTTACGAAAAAAAAATATCTATGTATTTGTATCAGTTATCTAGTACCCATAACACAAGCTTTAGCTAGCTTAACTTGGGTCTAGATGGCGCTCTGTGAATTGTCCTGAGATTATTATTCGATGTTTGATTCGTTCACGCAAAAACTACTGTGCTAAAAATTTCGCATGCAATTTCTAACGTATATGTTATTCTGATGTATAAGCTATTTACTGTAAAATTTATTTAAAATCTGTTCAGTAGTTTTTGCGTGAAAGGGTAACAAACATCCATACTGAGAAACATTCATCATCATCATCATTTTATTTATAATATTATTAAGATATGAAATAAGATTGTTTTCCTAAAAAATCAAAACAAACAGTGTCTGTAATAGAACAACGTATTCATTATAAATTTAAATTCCGAAATGGAATTGATTAATTATTAAAAAATATACAAATACCTACCATTATAGCAGCTAGTGATAAAATAATAGAAATGAGAATATTTTCAAAGTCGGTTGAGCAATATTTAACAAGATTAAACGTAACACCAGTGTGGATATGGTGTATTCTCCGCACTAAGGACAGTGCGGCTTTCCCCAAAGTTTGTGGACAAAAAACGCAATAAAACTGACCGGCCACGTGACCAACACGTATAAATCCCGGCACACGCTTAATATTTTATAAAAGCGAGCAACCGATGAATATTGTTACAAGTTGGCGATGCGATATAAAAATTAATACGTGCCCACAGTGGGTTGGTTCTTTTTTTGAGGAAGAAAAATAGTTTATTCATGTACTGTTTGAAAATTTATGTTTAGTGGAGGAAAATAGATACAAAATGCGAATAATATAGAAGTTTTATCCTTATTTCTTTACGTAGTGTGTACATTAATATGTACACACTACGTAAAGAACACACTTCTAATGAAGTGCATATGATTAATAAATTTATATTTTTATTGATAAATAATTTTCTCTTCTATGTAGTTAACTATTCTTTGTAAATGTTATTTTGTTATTTTTATATTCGTTTTTTTATGTCACAAGCTTACTTTGTATAAGAATAATACAAAAATCATACTCATGTACGAGGAAGCAAACCTTCAACCATCTCATCAATTAGAAACATATGCTAGATACTACGTGGATCACTTAATAGCATGATACCCATTGTGCTGCAAGTACACAGATGACGGTTACCACTTACCATCTGAATCGTCCGCCTCATTGTCAAATTATACACTAAATATAACAGCAATTTGTTTAGCACTAACTAATGCTAAACAAATTGCTAAAAAATACACAGGTATAATTTTGCTACTATTGTTTTGACAGGCTTAATAATTATACCTACATATTTACTTAAATGTTTCGATTGAACCAAAGGTACAGTACGCAGCCTCAGTTATTGTGGTCGAAAATCTAATATACAAAATTCTCATGTCACGGTGTTTCTTACCAAACGTCTCCGAAAGCGCACTTATTTTTATGAAAATATGCATATTCAGTAGGTCTGAGAATCGTTTACTACCTTTTTTCATACCTCTAAGCGATAAGAAGTTAGGGTTGTTCTCTAACAATTTCTTTTAATTTTTTGTACAGAGATCTTTTTTATAATGTGACATAAAACTACATACAACCCCAAATTTTCACACTTCTACCATCAACTCCTATTTTTTTATAGCGGTATTAGTACTTTAAGTGGCAAACCGACGTTTACGGGGTCAGCTAGTATCAATATCAAGCGATTATTATTATTGTTTAGATAATTTCGCCGTCCGGCAAGACAGACGATTGCTTCATCCAGAACATCGACGGGGACCAGTACTCCATCAGGTTCATGCCGCGAGAGAATGGAGTCCATAACATTAATGTCAAATTTAACGGAGTTCACATCCCAGCATCACCGCTGAGGATCAAGGTAAGTTAGTATCTTAACGCTAGTCTACGCATTTATTGGGGTAAGTAGACAGAACCAACAAGGCGAGATTTTCTATAAACAAACAATCGTAGCAAATCGGACGTCGACTGTACAGAATATTTTATTATGTTAACAACTGTTTATGGTAAGTAATCTTTATTCAAATAAACTTAATACAAACACTTATGAAAAGTCATATTATTTTTATTCTACCACTCATTCGGACCGCAGACTCGTCACAAGAAGAATGAGCAAGAAATTTGTGTGGTGAATTAACAAACATTTTTAAGAATTTTGTATATAAACAAAGTGCCAAATAGCAAATTTGAAATAAATAAATAAATATTCACTTGAATAATAAAATAAAGCAGTCATAGCTATCAAAGCAGACCAGTCCATACAAGCATGTTGCAATATTGCAAATAGATTATTAAATTAGTAAAAAAACGTCTAAACATTGCTGTTCTCCACTAGGTTGGTAAGGATGACGCTGATCCTGCTGCAGTCCACGCGCACGGACCAGGCCTGGGAGCTGTTAAAACTGGTATGTTAATATTTTTTTTTCTAATTTAAATTATAATTATTATAATTGCAAGGCTGTGAAAAGCTGAATTAAAGAGTTCATTATGACCCCTTTCTCTCTATTTAAGTTCTTAATAGGAGCTAGTAATATTTATAATGAAAACCATAACCACATAGGCTTTCTTCCTTTTTTTTTGTCTGGCTTAGTCCCATTTATTTGGGGTCGACCCGTCTGGTCAATCTTCGCCTATACGTTTGTCCTGGGTTGTCTGGGGTGTTATCCCTATTAATAGGGTACGGTTGATGGTACTAGACTTCGTGGACGATCGGGTGATCGTCCACGATCGTCGCATGGGTATGCGATAGACCGACCAAGTCAAAGCAGCAGTAAGCGGTCCAATTTACGAGTGTACCAGAATAGCAGCCGGTAGGGAGAAAAGACGAGCTGTCGTAAGACGGACGACATCTGCCTCTCACTCCACTTACTCCACTCCACTTACACGACCATCCTGACAAGAGTGTATCGATTAGAAGAATTAATAACAGACATCTACATGGATCTGATGCCAGACAGGGTCTGCCGCGTCTTCTAGGCTGGGTACTCATGTCAAGTACTATTCTTGTCACGTGGCCTTGGTGATTCAACGGTTTAGCATACCGCCTTACTTCCGATGGTCGCTGGTTCGATTTCTCGCACGGTACAATAATTTTGTATTCATGAGTATCATTGTTTGAATCGATCTGAATGTTTTCTATGTATATTATGTATGTATTTAAAAAAAAATACCAATATTTGTATCAGTTATACCTGTAACAGAAGCTTTGGCTGGCTTAAATTGGGTCTAGATGGCGCTGTGGGAATTGTCATGAGATTACTATTATTGCATTTTATATCTTTGTCAACAGGAGTGAAGACAGATCTGATCATCGATACTTGCAACGCCGGCGCTGGTCTTCTCGCAGTCACCATGGATGGGCCCTCCAGGGTAGCCATGGACTGCACTGAGGTTGAAGAGGGATATAAGGTCAGTACTAACAAACTTTAGGATTTGTTTCGTATCTTCCCCTGCAGCTGTTAACTTCCTAACTCATAGAATTTTATTTAAAAATAAGAAGTTACAAGCTTATGTAAATGTGACTATTACAACCGAAATACAGCATACAAACAAGCTATTTTACAGCTGATATAAGTAAGACTGAGGTACCCACGCAGACGACATTTTAGTCTACACCTGGAAACTACTACATCACGACGCCAAAAAGAAAAAAAAACTGAATAACTTATATTTGATGTGCTGAAATTTCTTTATTTAAACTTATTACTTATTTGATATTTAAATTTCTTTATAACTAGATGCCCCGCGCAACTACGTCTGCATCACACTTACTTAACATCTATTATTATATTTCGCCTAATTTACATAATATCTTTTTTAAATTATAACTTATGTATTATACTGATCTATAAGATATGTTGCTGTAAAGTTTCATCAAAATTTGTTCAATAGTTTTTCCGTGAAATAACAACAAACATCTATATTTACAAACTTTCGTGTTTATAGTATTAGTAAGATGATGGATGTAATTTTTTTTAATACATAGGTGCGCTATACTCCACTGGCACCTGGCTTCTACTACTTGAGCATCAAATACAATGGGGCTCACATTGTTGGCTCACCGTTCAAGATTGAAGCTACAGGTAAATTACTATAATCATTCTCTATCTCTTCTTAAGCTCTATATCTCTTGCTAACTTTAAAATATCAGTAAAATCTCATTTCCTTTCATTGAGTTCCACTTTTCCATTTCTCTCCTTATTTCCTTCAAACTTTCCTTGGATGTGTGTATTATTAAGTTTATGTATGTCTATATAGATTTATATATGCATGTAATATATATTTCCAATATATATTATTAGTTATGTTATGCACTACTCTTTTCTCATATCTTTGTCGCCTACCTAAAGGTAAAAGATTGCTTAGCGATAAGATCGCCATTGGTGCTTGTTAATGTATATATTTATATTACATACATGTTGATATTTTTTGTATATGGTGCAAAAAAGTCTATGAAAAAAAGTATCTTTAACCCGGAAGTTTGAATCCATGAACATATTTGGCTCTATAATACCTGTACGTAAATATCATCTATAATTAGTTATAAAAGATCCTATGTGTTGTAACTGGTTAATAAGAAATGTGTTTTATATTCTAAATTTGTATTTAAAATGTATAGTTTCTTTTGTAGATTCTTTTATATGTCAGTAGTACCTATATCCTAATATAAATTTTTCTACGCATACCAAATCCTTTTCTTTTTCTTACCTGTACAAATATAATAAAATATAACACTATGTAATTGAATTACAGCATTTGACGTTCATCTCTATCTATCCAAATGGAAGTCTGGCGTTATGATATATATATATATATGTACGGTTTTAATTATAGCAATTCAATTATTAATTACAGGTGGTAAAATCGCCGAAGTTGGTGCTCAAGAGACGTCATCGGTCACGGTAGAAACTGTACAGAAAGTGTCTAAATCTGGCTTGAAACAGGGTCCAGTTCTACCGAACTTCAAATCTGACGCCTCCAAAGTTACCTCCAAGGGTATGGGGCTGAAGAAGGCTTATTTGAACAAGCACAATCAGTTTACGGTGCACGCTGGAGATGCGGGTAAGATTTTTTTTTAAAACTATATAACAATAATTATAATTTACTTGGACTACTATGGACCTTCCCGTGTATACTTAGATTGTGAAATGAACTACCTGCCGAAGTTCTCTCGAGATACTTCTCTCGAGGTAGGGGGTTTTGAAGGATATATTAAGGTTTCTTAAAGGTCGGCAACGCGCGCCCGACATCTCTAGTATTTCAGACGTTCATTGGCTACAGTAACCATTTACCATCAGATGGGCCGTATGCTTGTTTGTAACAGTCGCAGTATAAAAATAGTACATTTCACATAGCACATCTAGTTCCAAGCTAAGCAGAGCTTGTGTTATGTATAGAGATACTAGACAACTGGTACAAATATTTAATACAAACATAATGTGCATAGAAAACACCCAAACCAGCATAAACAATAATATTCATGAATATAAATGTGCGAGGAATCGAACTCGCCACCTTTAGAAGCTAAATAGTGTTAAACCACTGGACCACAAAGGCCGTCATTCCTGTATGTGGCATTGTATCCAATATATCGTTTTATTAACTCAATTTTGCCAAATAAATTAGAATCTCTTTACTTTCATATATAGGATTAGTTTGCTTTATTATTAATGTGAATTAACGCACCAACATTTTTGTGGCGAACAGATTCGATCTCACTACCTTTTCGACGCCAATCAGAGTTGTTATCACTGATTTTACTGCTATATATAGACAGCTATAACTTACCTTCATTCAGGTCCTACACTTGATTGCAATCAACGATCTCTTCTCCAGCTTTTTAGGCAAGATATTCTATTAAATTTCTGTTTTTTAGGAACTAATATTCTATACGTCGGTATCTACGGCCCCAAAGGACCCTGTGACGAGGTACAGCTCAAACACAAAGGCAAGAATAACTACGAATGCTGGTACGTGGTCAGGGATAGAGGGGATTACATTGTTATCGTCAAATGGGGGGATGAACACATCCCCGGCTCACCCTACAAAGTAGAAGTCTAAGACACTACATCCGATGGCAGCGTGTTAAAAAGTCTCATTATATTTCACAAAAAGCATGGACACTCTTGTACACTGCGTGCCATAAAACTGCATTCGTATTTTTTATAAATCATAGTGTTTTTTTGTTACAATGACGTTTAGAATGTAATTAGATATGTGCGAAATGATTTTTTTATTATTATTGTGTGTAAAGTACATTATTAATTTTGCAAGCGACTTTTTAATGGACATTTTAGTAAAAAGACTATATAAAAATAATCATGTTTCATTTATAATCATTGTGATAAGAATTTGTATGTTTAAATTTAAAACATAAATACGCTGTCATCATTTAATTTATTGTATTTTATTTATTTTCTTCTAAGGATTACGAAAAGATTTTCAGAAAATTCTAATTTGTAACACTAATAAAAGATTGATCTCTCGTTATTGAAAATGACATTTAGATCTTTTTGTGGTCCTTCGTGCGTTTTTCTTGTTCCTATATCTTTATCATTTCGAAATATTATCGTTAGGTATCCAATTGTTTTGCGAGCATTTTTATATTCTAACAACTGAGCCGATGTTTCCTAGATATATGTTTTCATATACGATTTATATGTTTCTCATTTAGTTTTTAGGGCGACTAAATGACAATACATATAAAAAATTAACTTAAATTATTCCCTTATTATTAATAAGTTTTATATTTAGGCGCAATTTATTAGATTCCTATCTAAAATTGTTATTCGAATTTACTTCTGTCATTTGTTTATTAATTCTTCTTCCTTCTTTTTTAATTAAAAGTCTAGTCACAGAAGAATTAACAAATTCGTTTATGTTTTTCGGAACGTTGTGAAGAAATATATATACTTTTTTTTTAACTTCTTACATTATTTCTTTTTTCACAATTTTCTATCTAATAAACTGCGCCTATATTTATTGATTAAGCATAAAATATATCTGCTTTCTAATTTGTGTATGGTTTGTGCTGTATGATGTACCTACGTAGGTAGAATGACCCCCATATAATGTAAATAGGTATCTAATTTAAGTATTTAATATAATATATTGTATTGCGACTGTTAACTTAATAAAGAAGGAAAGTTCAAACACATGTTTTATTTAACTTAAATCCACAATCTTAATATGTATGATGATTACGTTTATTTTACTAACATTGAACCAATAAAAATATACCATAACATACACCAAAGTATATTTATAATATGTATATTTAAAAAAATCAGTTTCCTGTTCTTTAAAAATGTATCTATATGAAAATTGGTCCAGGTCAATTAGTAGGTTTAAAAAAGAATACAATAAGTAACATGTGTATGTTGTGTAATAAAAACTATATTCAAAAATGAAATGAAAACAGTAATTTAAAAAAGTAGTAGTAAACTAGTAAATAAAAGTCAAGCACAATTCTTGGCATAGTTGTAATTTTAATCGATTTTAAGTAACAAAAAATGTTTTCGGTCATTTCCATCTAATAAACTTAATCGAGAACGCTAGATAAAGCGAAACTATCGTAAAACAAGGTTACTTACAAAAATATCTATTTAATCATAATAATGTTTACACTTAACTAAAAAAAATCAAATTACAATATCACATTTCTACTTACAATAGAGAGATATTGGCGATTTCCTTATAATCCAATTTAAATTTCAAAATCCTTGGGTAAAATTGGCTCATTGTCATGTAATTCGATACTTTATATTAAATAGTGCACCCTCTAATATCGTTTTATATAATAACAATTCGGAAGAATTAAGTATTGCCGTACATTACATTAAAAACAAATACCCATTTGTACACGAACTTAACATTTGGCTAAACTTGTGACGGCGACGACCCGTCCGCGACGCTCCCTGGGAGCCTGGCGACCACATCACAAATAACCACAACCTAACAAGTTTAAATTCTAATAGAAAGCAATCAGTTAAGATGAAGTACGATTCCTCCAAAAATATTACTCCCCACCGCATCGTTACCTATCACATTTTCATTAATTGTAACTACTACACTGATCGTGTTTATCTCGTTAAAAACAAAAATAACAATTTCGTATACATCAAAAATTAGTCTAAAATTAAATCGATGTAAACCACAATTGAAGTCGATGGACCAACATTAAGTACGTTCGAAACAATTGATACTATAATACAAGTTTGATCTCCGATAGCTACCACAACTTTCTTACGGCTAATATAATTGAGCATAAGCATTTTTAGACTTAAGTAAACAAAAAAAACATTTCGATAAATTTCAAGGTTCCTCAAAAAATGTCTCGTATTTACAAATTATGTACAAAGTGCGCCTTTCTTAGTACCCATTAAGAGCGATAGAGATTTGGCCACTCAATAATGTATTGTACAAATTGATAATATTTCAATTTAATTATATAGAAAATATGTTCGACCCTCCAACCGTTGCGTTATTAAAAATTATTAAATTCATGAACTATATAAGTAATGAAGGAGAAACACATTTTCTAGATACAAAAAATAAAATAACTAATGTTCGTAAGATAGACATTGAAATAAAGCTAAAATAATAAAATGTATGATCTAAGTAGGAACTGAGTGCAACTGTGATGTAAAGAGATCCGTGTTCAGTATAGGTATATTCTTATAAGTTAAAAATGCAACAGAAAGAGACAGTACTAGTGATTTCAAGATTTCTACGCATCGTGAAAGATCTATTACATATATTTTGTATATCAGGAACTTTAGATTACTGTAACAACTAAGAAATCTCGTTCGAAATAAATAACACTGGGCATACATTATTATAATACTCATGTGCATTAATATTATGAATTATTATGCCAAATTCGTATTATTTAAACACTTTTTAGGAAAATAATTGTATTTTCACAAATGAGACCAATGATCACAAATTTAGAATTAATTTGAAAAAAAGTTACAATTACTATAATGTATAAAATCAGAATGATTCAATAAGAACATGAAATGTAACTAAAAAAACAATGTAAATTTTTAATTTGGTATGTAAATACTATTTTAAATATCAGAGAAATGAACAGCAACAGGTCTTGAATAGAAAGTATAAAGATAATTTCAAAGTTAAAGATTAGTTGTTCTGAAAGCAGTACTGTGTAAAAAAATAAAATGAGACGAATTCTTCAATAACAAAAAAGGTTATGAGGTAAATCAATTTTGGCTTTCAAAATTCATTAATTGTCTACTACATACGTCTATGTCCCAAAGAACAGAAAAAGATTATCTGCTTTACTGAAAACTAATCGATAACTTGTAAAATACTGTTACAGTACATTTGAAATCACATTGTATAAGTATTTTATCTACTCACAAAAATTTAGAGTATTCATACACGTTAAGTCTAAAAACATGAATTCGTTTCACTAACAATAAAATCAATTTCGTATTTCATACATTCATTAATACCACTGTCGTCGAGAGCGAGATTCTAAATATTTTGATAATATTTTGTTAATTTATAGACTAATAATACCATTGTAAGTACTAGAGGACGTGTACCTAAGGTAAAGGGCAAGGATTTTATTGTTTGTCTTTGTGGGATAGAGCGTGCGGCAGAATGTGTTCGGCTGGCAACAGTGCCGACGGCTGATGAGCATAATTCCTAATCTGGTGAAGGGATATCAGTTGATTAGGGAACGAATTTGGTTGCTGTTTCCCTTGCTGAAAGTGCAATGGGTCGTACAGATATGGTCTCGTCGGCAGGGGACTATGGTGGGAGAGACCATTAAGATGCGGCGCCATGGAATTTATCGGTGTAAATGCAGAGTTCGCTGCCGAAGATACCGGTGGCTGAATTCGATCGTCTTGACTCTCGTGTTGAGCGAATAGCGCTCTCTGTTGCTGCAAATGCTGTTCGTGATGATCATCACTTTCACGTTGCTGGTGGTAGCCACCGTCATCCGACATGTGGGCTGCAGAATCAGGACTCACTTTGGGCCAGTAAGGATGCTCTGCGAAAGGCGCGGCCGTCGGCGCGGCTGCAGCTATTGACCTATTCAGGCCGCTCAATCCCAACGCCGAAATTGGAGGTCGCTTATCAGCTCTCTCAGCATGTTTGTTCATATGTTTACTTAGATACGTCTCTTGGGTATAACTCTTGCCACAATACTGACAAATGTGCGTTTTTAAATGCTTCGATTCTTTGTGTTTCGGGATATGTTCCAGCAAATCCTTTTCGTGGGTAAAACATTTGTAGCACGAGTTGCATTTGAAGGGCTTGTCGGTTTGGTGGCACCGGCTGTGGCTTTGGAGGTTGGAGAGCTGGGAGAATGCTTTTGTGCATCCGATTTGTGTGCAACGATAAGGCTTGTCACCTGTGTGCGTTCGGATATGTTGTTGCAGGTGTGAGAGTTGGGTGAACTTGCGCTGGCAGATTTCGCAGCGGTACGGTTTGATGCCAAGGTGAATACGGGAGTGCTGCGCCAGGTACGATGAGTTTGCGAACGCTTTGGGACACTGGGTACAGCGGTATGGTTTCGCCTCGCGAAGGTGGATTTGAGTGTGAAGTTGCAGATCTGCCTTCGAACCGAACACCTGGAATTAAAAGAGAAAATAAAAGTTAATTAAATTTTATTTGTGGTATAACAAATAGTGTAATAACGTTTAGTGTATATGTTACAGCGGCTATTACGATTTCTGTCGACTAAAGAAGAATCAATCTGTAAATCTATTTCAAATTACAATTATTACAAAATAAGAATGAGATAATTGACCCTTACTTTTAAATTATTGGTTATAGATACTAATATAGAAGGGATTATTATTAAAATATCCTAACGCAAATAAGATTTAATTCCACGCAGACGACTGTGTCAAAGTCAAATGCATATCTAAGTATATTTACTTGCATGATTTTTTACAACAATACAGATCCTGACACTGTTCAAGACAATTTAAAGCTATTTAAGTAATATCATCATTAGAATGATCAGAAAGTGAATTTTGCCCTTGAACGACATCCGCGGCAGCCGGAACAAATTACGTTGTGAGCAAAACAAGCGTTTTTTTTATTTGTTCAGGAGACGGAGGCAATAAAGGCAGGATGCCGACGTCACGGCTTCACGCGACGTGATTAGACTTCCTGGACACTCATCTTGCGAGCAATCAAGATCTCTCTGTGGCCAACAATAAATAATAATATCTTTACGAACAACTCTTCCAGAAGGGATAGTCAAAGTTTGCTGTTTAACGGTTGAAATATAAATTCTTTTTCTGATTAGAGGAAGTAATACTTCGTACCCTCTAAACGATTGCTTAAGAAGCGAGTCTGCATGGTGTTAGTTATTTATGCATGGTATTTATATGATTGCATATAGCGAACAACGCTCTTAAAGTATTATGCTCAAGTACCTAACAACTTTAAAAGCCTATTTTTTTATATAAATATACATTTTTTTAAATTTAAATATAACTGGTTGACTTTTTGACAATTCTCAACTGAACTAGGTGGTAACGTCAAAAATAGTTTAGATAAAAATAGACGTAGTAAAAAATCTTGTTATGTTTTCAATGACTCCTAATTTGAATATACACAGCATAATTGTATCAATTTCATCTTATTGGTTAGCTAGTTCTTTACAAAACCATACAGTTATTATACTACTTGAATATATAGAAAAATAACTTAGTTATCGTTACAATGTTAAAATACGTGAGTTAATAGTCAAACAGACGACGCTCTAAGTATCAATTCGTCATACATAAAATCTGTTAAATTAACATCAGTATTCCGACTGGCGTCATCAAAATCTCATTTTAAAGAGAGCCCTAAGCCATATTTGAATAGCCAGACCCAACTACACGTGCCAACCGAGTAGGTATGCTATTAACCCGACACTCTTCGCACATTCAAAAGACTGTTGCTGTACACCATTGATATTCATTGTGATACTTCAAATTAGTTTCTTGGCAAAAGTGACTCGTCATCCTCCAGATAGATTTTATTCACCAACAATGGAACGGCCACGTTCCTTCGGGCACCAAAATCTATTGCTGCCGACGCACGACTCAATTTGAATGGAACGAACAAATTTTATAATCGCAATCACTGTGATATTAATCTTGAATTGAAACTAAATAGAGTTCAAATTACATCATCATTTGACGATGACGACGGCCGGTTTCTGGCTGACGAGAAACTTATTTTACAGAACGTTAATAATACCAGTGGGGATGTGAATGAAAACGGGCTTTATTATAATAGTGTTGAAGATTGAAATTATGTTGTAGGTGGTGGGAAGCGAGCGTCAGCGGCATAGGATTCAGTAGCACGCCGCATGACTCGTAAGAAAATGTGAGACACGAACGCGATTGGTCACAGCCTGAACATAATTAAAGTTTGGAGCACTACTTAATGGTATGAGGTTGGAAATTCGAGGTGGTGCCTGACTTTTAATAGGACTTCGTGAAGGATCGATTCACCTCCGAGGAATCTGTGGCAAATTACGAATAGAACACCTTCCGCTCGGTGTAGACTTCGGTATTTTTTAAAATAAGAACATAACTAAAGAGATAGACTATTTCTCGTATACACAGATTAAGTAGATAGAAAATAAAAGCACAGATCTGTGTTAGATAATGTTTCTACAGATTCATCGCGCGAAAAATCAAATCATGACATTACCACATAACAAAAACTTCAAAGAAACATACCAAATGATTTATTTGTGTAACATCATACGCGATATATTAATGATCATTAAACGTGAATTGTATACAGTAAAAAAATCTAAGAAAAAAGGAGTACACTTGAAAAAGTAAAGGTCATTAGTACCTACATATATTATTAGAAACGTGCAAATTCTATTTTCGTATGAAAAACTATAAATAATTATAAATGGTGGCAGTAATAGACAAATAAGGTGAGTATTGTTCTATTTTTGAATTTGGAATTTGACATATAGGTAAAATGTAGATTTATATAATCTAACGATTCATTAAAATTCTATATAGGTGTCCTTGTACTGAACATGCAAATACATTTAACAATAGATGTTTACGTTTATAAAAAAAAGCAGAAATATTGAAAACTTATATTCGTCATAATTGTAAAAGATTGTTACGTTTTTATTCGTGTTAGTTGTTATCTACGTGACTTTAGTAGTGACTTCTAATGACTCATAGGCGACAATAGACACCTATAAAATACTTAAAAATACATCTAAAAGTCGCTTGCCCATGTTATACATAATATTGTATGGTTAGTAACGGAAACTCAGTTGAGTTTCTTGCCAGTCCTTCTGAATTGAATCTGTCTACTGAACTGGATGATAGGGAAAAAATATTAACACAAAAAATTTATGTTCATAAGCGGCTAAAATGTCCTACATGAATAAATGATTTTTGATTTGATTTTATTTGAACTAGATGTCCTATATCCATCTATGTATGTGTCAGGTCGAATTCTGTGATTCTCTTTAGAAACCATTGTAATTAAATTGACCACGATGAGGTAACTGATCAGGCTTCCATGCTCATGTTATCATTCTTCACAGATGTCCCGCTAGTGTATACGTGGCAGTTATATTAAAGGCATGTAGGCACACTATTCCTAAATTAATCATCATAAAATGATGACATGATGATGAAGAAGCTGTTCTCTATATAGTTTACAATTGCTGTGGTATTCATTTATTTATTAACCTTACAATACAATGTTACGTTTTATCCTTAAAAATAAGGTGAAACCCTATTTTTAAGGATAAAATGTAACACTGTTTATGAGCTTGTTTGCAATTATATAAATAAAAAATTATCAGTAAATATCAGGCATAGCTATATCAAATATAAAAATAATGACAAATTCCAGATTAACATAAGCCGGTAATAATGTTAATGTTAAAATTAAACCAATTTAAATTTTAAATGACGATCAAGATTAATGACTGTGAAGCTAACAGCAATTTAATATACTGTCATATATTGTAATAGCTAGATTAATTATAAACGAAAAATAAATTTAAAATGGCGAACAGAATTTGCATATCTCTGTTATTTAACACGTCATGATGCAAAAATGTATTTACAACCTACGTCGCGTCGACTTCAGGTTGCATTTATTATAGTGATCTCTATTTTGTTTTTAATATAAAATACGCTAATCGTTACTCCTTGATAATTTAATTATCTATGGGTTAAAGACTATTTATAATAGGAATTCGAATCGTTTTTAAAAAAAATTACTTTATCGTAAAAAAAATCTGATAATAGTAGATATTATTCTTGATATTACTCTTTAAGGATATCATTTCTCCTGTACATCCAGGAGAAATGATTTCCTTTAATAAAATAATAATCTTGCCTTTTTATATTATTAATTTAGATTGCAGGATACACTTCTTATTTCTTGTTCCACATTATTTACTTATACAACAATTCTTCGAGTAATCCAATCGTCTCGTGTTATAAACAAAATTAATTACGTAGTAATTTTTAAATAATACCATATTCCTCAGAATGCACCTCGATTAAAACCTTAGCTATTTTATATGATTGCAAATAATCTGACTATTTTATAGACAGATTGTGTAAACTGTCAAATTCCTACATATAAAATAGTAATTTTTTTTATATAAAAATTATTTGACTTCTACCAAATTACAATTTTGTAATAATAATAATTTTCAACACGATTTAAATTGTTTTAATGAAATAAATGAATGCAATGAAACTTTTTCTGATTGACGGTACCTACTATTAAATTTCTGAAAATTTTGAGCACTATTTCTGTATACGTCCCACATAATTTATTTGATCAAAAGTAAAGAGGAAAACGCCATTAAATTTTCCCCGCTGAAACTAATTTTCTTAAAATCCTCACAACGAAATGTTACGAGCAAAAAGTGTCCGCCGACAAAAACCCCTCGACCGCGACGGGACAGTTTTTGCACCCCTAAAATTATTATTAATCGGACGCATACATAACACTGTTTATCTAAGGATATTAGGGCTTGTCCTGGGGACAGGATTTTCTCTAATAAGGCATAGTTTTTGTTGGTCAAGATTAATTTTGCGAAAACGCCGCACAAAATGGCCGGTTGTTTATCACCGATGACATTTCCCCTCGTATTTTTTAAAACAAGATGTTTTATTATTTGGAAAGACAAAGCGTCGTATATATTTTGTTTTTAATGATGGTAATTACATGTTGTGGTAATTTTGAAAGATATTAATTTAATTTAAGTTTATTATATGTTATCTTTAACCCAACCCTCTAACTCCTATTTGCCCTAAAAGAATGGTATGATTTTCTACATTTCTCGAAATTAATTTTAGTAACCTAGTGATTACTGTATACTAAACTGACTCATTAATCTAAAAGATCAGGGGTTCGAATATAGTTGATATTAATCAATGATTTGATTTCTAAATAGAACGGAATTTAGACGGCCTCGGTAGTGTAGCGGCTCAGCACATCGCTTTACTTCCGATGGTCGCGGGTTCGTTTCCGCGGTACAAACATTTGTATTCATGAGTATGATTGTCTGTTTTCTATGTATATTATATATTTTATAAATATATATCTAAGTATTTAT